GATATAAACTCATTAATTGGATTTTTTATTCTAATAATAATTAAAAACTGATAAGTTATATTGTATATAAAAAATAATAAAATTTGTATATAATAATAATAATTTTATTTTTATTTTTATTACAAATTTTAATAATTAAATTAAAATATTAATTAAAGTATTAAATCAAATATATAATTAATGTCTTTTGTATTTATTAAAATTAAGTAAAATAAAAATATTGTTATTAGATTATTCAACAATTTAAAATCATTCTTAAATTTTTAAATTTAATTCAATTTTTTTAACCCATATATTTTAAGATACAATTTTTATTAATTTATTTTCAATAATTATAAATACTTTTATTTAATATAATTATAATTTTTTCAACTGCATCTTATAACCAACTTCTGTTTATTCTAATTTTTTATCATTTAATCTTAAATAAATATTTATAATTACCAAATATTATTTCATAAGATATATTGTTTTAAAAAAATTTTCAATGTTAGTTAATTGGTTTTTATAGATAAATTAATACCTAACTTATTATATGTGCATATAAAAGATGTTTTTTTTATGATATATATTTTATCAAATCATTAATCTTATAATAAAATTTAAAAGCAATATAATTGGTCAAAACTTGTGATTAGTTGATTAATTTGAAATTATCAAAAATATAAATACATTGTATATGTACAGTATATATCAAATGTAGTTTATAGAATAATTGTATGAATTATGTCAATTATTTATTATTATTATCAATTATCAATAATATATACAGCATATAATCTTTAAACAAACATTGATTTAAAAAGATTAAAAATGACAAATACATATATGTAATATTCTAAAAAATCAAAATGACAAAAACAATATTAGAAAAGTCTGAATAAAAAATAATCATAAAAAAATTTGGTTTTAACTTGTGCATAAAAAAACAAAAAGATTATTTTTACTCAAATTTGATATCAACTGTTTTTTTTGGAGGGAGGTTTTTTTTTTAATAAAAAAATTTATTAAGCAAACAAATATGATAATAATTCAATTATTAGTAATAATTACGAAATTCAAATAAATAACTGTTATGAATTAAGTAATTTAATTTTAGATATCATAAACCATTAAAGCTATTAACATAACGGATTATCAACCACATCTACAGTATGTTGAATTAAATGATATGGGTAAGGTTGAATGAATCTTTAATTAATGCTATTTGGTGTATTTGGTGCTATTCAAAAAAATTGATGGAACACGATGTAGTTTGAGATTTTTTCCTTCCTTGAAAATGTCGGGAGCGGATAGTATGTAAATTGAATGGCGACGAAAAAGATGGTAATTGACGCGACTCGGATTGGATCAATCTTTACAAAGGAAGAGTTTTTGTTGTCTTTCTTTTAAATAATGCTCGTTCGGGGTTTATGAAAAAACGGTTTGAACATCAGTTCTATCACTCCTGTTTAGACCGTTATGCTCACACACGGAGTATTAGTGTAAGGGAACACAAAGATTACCTCTCTCACAATACCGGCTGGATTTCAGTGTGCAAATGTTGGTCAAGAAAATCATACTACTAAAATGTATCTCTATAAAGACAAAATTAGTTAATTTTGGTAAAACGCGCAAACGAATAATTTCTTTGTCAAAAGTGGAAATTCTTTGGGGATAATAAAGGTTTCTTTTTCGTTATTCGTTGGATTTCTGAAATTTGCCTTGTTGTCATAATCTATACAACGATTCAAAAACCAATTTCCCCAAAAGTCAAAAAAAAAAAATTTCGCAGAAAATATTTTCTTTTTCGGGAAACAATGGGTTTAACAAATGAAGATAGAAATTTTGGGGGGTACCCAAAAATAGTCATAAGTCGCACAGCTATTTCCTGTTCACGCACTCAACGGAAAAATTCATAGATTCATGAATTTAACGGGTCTCGGACTTTATCACGGATTTCTTTCTATTGTTTTTGGAGATATACCCCGTAAATCGGAATTGCGGATACAGTAAATGAAATTACCGAATTACTTTGTCGGAGTTCTGCCGTTAAATCTTGAAATGAAATCGCTGATGCGTTTGGATGTATGATGTCATATTAGGAAATCCATTAATTTTCGTATAACGCAGGTTGAACTATCTTGCGCATTACTTTGGAATGTTTGGTTATCGAATTGGGCAAACAGGTTGCGTGGTTGGTAGGTTATCAGGAAAGCTCGAATTCACAATAGTATATATTGTTCAAGCGTATAACGACGAGAAGATTGTGAGATAAAACGGGTAATTTGAAATGGTGTATTGTATATCACGTTACTCGTTATCTGAAGGTTGTACGGTTGTGTGCGAAAGGCAGCTGGAGATCGATTATGGATTAGGAAATAAGTCACCATTCTTGGACGATTGTAAGTGAAGAAAAAAGAAAAATTTCAAACCAAAATTTCCATTGTCTACTAAAATAGATAAAATCAAAACCCATTTGTGTTCTTGAGCAGCATTAAATTATATAATTGGCTCGAATAGAGAACATCCTTGCTGGAAATAGTTTTTTGACCACACGCATCATAGGCTTAAGGTTTCCCAAGAAGATGGACAAGTAGTGAGGATAAATATGCATTCAATTTTACTTGTGTACAATGACCTGTGATTTGTCAATTAATTTCCGGTTGAAAAAAAATGCCATCGTCACCATAGAAAGATAATTATGACCAAGTTTGTCAAATCCAATTTGATCAAGCTTTTTTCCTGCACGGTGCATAGACAATAATTCTAATGTTCAAGGAATCCCTCAACTCCGAATTTGGGAGGTAAAATAATCGCCAAATGAAAAAGGAAGGAGGATGTACAATGGGTGCGATCGGTTTGATCGATCTGTCGGAAGTCGCAAAAATTCGAGCCAATGGATTTTCAACACTCCTAATGGTTGGCGTAGGAAATTAGATGATGTTGTTGTATCGCATCGCATTATCAATTGATAAAGATTTGGTGCTGAAATTACGATTTCTTTATTAGTTTGAACTTGGCGAGTTTCAACAAGACCAAACCGACTGTTTGAAACTGCCTCGTAGTTACGTTACACCGAGGGTACAGTTTCTGACAAGTCATTTTCAAGAGTAATAGTAATGAATGAATGAAACCTTATCTGGGTTAATCGTACCTTTGTGAAAACTAAGGTCAACTCTGGTTCAGCGGGACAAAGGTTTTTTTTCTTTCACCCTTTGTGATCAAATTTATCGGATGACGAAAGAGCGTTTCATTCAGTTTATCTGAATTCCAATTTTATTCTTCAATAGAGTATGAAGCAAGCCACAATTAAAAGTGGCGAGTAAATTAATATGTGACAGAAAAGAGAATCAGCCACATTTATAAATTTTGGTGTTACGATTTACTCATCCTTGACAATCAGATTTCCGTAATGAAGCAAGTACTGATAATTCGTAAAAGGCTTTTTTTTTGATATTAGCTTTGCGGAGAATTGAATAGCACGCCTTTAATTGTAAAATCATTTAGCCGGAGTTTAGGTTTACCATACAATATCAGCATTTATCATTTAATGTAATGCCATTTTGGCTGTTTTGTGCATGGTTACACGAAGGACATGGATGAGGATTTCCGAGTTTCTATATATATACATAAACCTCGGACTTTTTTCTCCTGCGTAATAGTGCTATACCATTCAACACGTATATAAATGCATACTCTTTTTCCAGATCTCTGAGAAAAAAAATTTTTTTACCTCTTATAAAGAAAAAAAAAAAAACAGGACAGCGGTCTAACTGTAAATTTCGAATCATTCTTGAGCTTTTTACAATAAAATGCCTCGCGCAAAAACTCAACCAAAATCCACGAAAAAAATTCGAGGGCAAACTTGTTCTCGAATGCAAAAACTTCGACTAAGTAACAACTTTACCGGGGAAAAGAATGGGACAAACGATAACAACTTGAATGTTTACCTTAGTGACATTAATAATCGCAACAATCCAACAAATGTTGCCACTAATCATAAGAACTGTGATAATTGTCAAGAGTCAGGAAATTGCATAAAGATACTCATGGAAAGATTATCCAAGATCGAGAATATAGTTGATGAACTATCCAAAATCACCAGGGAGTTTAATGCCAGCTCGATAAATAAGGTATTTGCCCTTTTATTTGACCACGTGAGAGCGCTGGATGAATCTTGATTCCTAATGAAACTTGTTTTCCTTCAATAGATCGTGCCCAACAAAACCCAATCGCCTCAATATCAAGGAGTGAATCTGTCTTCATGTAAGCTTGAGGAGCTCCAGAAATTTGTGATCTCGGCAACGAACAAGATGACGCCCAATCTCAAAAGAAAATTCGCTGAGGAATCCGGGGATGGTATTGTACCCTTCTCAAATCTAGATTCGACGAGAAACAGTGACAATTCATCATTTATTAATCAACACAAGATAATGAGTTCTGATGTGGATCCAAAAAAAATTGAATTGAGAACTCCAACATCAACGTTGGGCAGTGAACCTGACAAGGTTAACCAATCACATCCCATAAAACAGGAGAAGCAGGATCATTGGTGTTCTGGTGGTGAAGAACCTCCAATTAACAAGAGAAAGAGAACTTTTGTTGAACATTAGATTTTGATGTTAAATATTTTTCTATCGAATTTGTTTGCTCGATTTCTTTTTTTCTTTTGCTCCTTTTTATGACAAAAGAACTATGCAGTTTTTTTTCACCACCCCTACGAAATGTATATTTTCACGTGACCTACCTATACTTTACACTTACTCTACTTACTCTGATTTTAATTAATCTTAATAAGTTATTATATGACCAACCAAATCGCATCTTTGTAAATGATAAAATCTCATATAGAAAAATTATGGTTTTTTCACCTCGAAAATATGTTATATATATTTATATTTAGAAAAACGCAGTCATATTGTTTTTAAATTTCTATTTCATTCTCTTTCACATTCAACGATTCCTTTTACCTCTCAAGAAATTCTCATGTTGCTTTCACTTGTGCTAACAACCAAGTACTTTGGTGATAGGAAATAAAGACGATCTTCATTTAAGTCACGTGCCATTAAGAGTGTATATTCTATTGGGAATATGACCTTGTGTTTGCTTGCCTAATCGTTTGCTTATGTAAAAAAAATGGTTAAAAATGCCCAAAGCATAACAATCTGTACACTCAATGTCATTTCCAAGAATGCCTCAGAACGTACAAAATAAACCCCGAGTACATGATTTCTTTGTGCTTGCAACCCGAGTATTTCATTGTTGAGAAGCGTACCAGGCGCGTGAACACATCCATTTATTCATATATGGATAGCGGATTTTTTTTGATTAGGTCATGTGGAAAAACATTTCCTTTAAGGAAATATCAATCATTTAATTGTTTTATGTGCACAAAGGATAATTGGTTACGCGAGAAATCCAATGAGTCCGAATGGCGGTGTGCGGAAGCGAAGTCCCTTATTATGCGTACTGATTTAAACGATTAGATGATGGAAAGAGTTAGATTAGATTTTTTTTTTCCTTCCATCAATGTATGATTTACCTGTCTACGTAGAAGACCTTGATTCCATATCAGATGTCAAATACGGAAATTCATGTTCATATCAGGAATCAAAGAAACGCTTGATTTTTAAACTCTACAAACAAATGCATATGACTCATTCATACAGAGATCCACACATTTTGCTTGTCATTCTTTTCATTCTTTTCATTCTTTGCTATTATGTAAACAACACATACATGCGCTTAAACGCTTTGTGAGACACTTTAATCGGGAATTCACAATCACGCAATCGCAATATTCAATTGGGCTTTAACCGTATGATCACGAACGACCTTATTTCGAAAGCGCCCGATAAAAACATTCGTCTGGAATACTCAATTCTCATGATCAATTGACTTCACCTGAGAATTGGGTCTGGAAACTAAAGATAACGCGCATGGGCGTATTCGAATAGCGCGCAGGTGGGAACATCATTTCGCGAACATGCGGTACGATCTTTGAGTACCTTGTTGCCAATTGCATATCATCTCATCGAAATAATTAAAATTTTCTCAACAATCCTGATTAACTATTGTACTATCGGATCGGGAAAAAAAGAAAACTTTGAATTTGTGAATTAAGTGCTAAACTTGGCATTAAATGAAAATCAGATGATATGGTTCCATCCATCATTGATAGCTGTGTTTGAACATTCAATGACGAATGGTAAAACTTTATCAAACAAAAATAGTGATGATATTAAGTGAAAAGAAATAACTGTATGAAAGAAAGAGAGAAAGAAAGAGAGAAGGTGACACCTAAACTATTCTAAAGTTTTGGGTTTACATTACGTCAAATTTACATCCATGTCATATACTGCATATAATAATTACATTAAAACAGTTGAATTTAGATTGAATGTCATCTTTAATGATTTTAGTTGATATGAAGTATTGGTTAAGAAAAACATTATCGTGTTTTTTATATTCAATGATCTTTGATAATAGCGAACTTGTTATACATATATTCAAAGCGCCAATCGTTAATAATATAATTTTATCCGGACATACTGTAATCTCAAGTTTTTATGATTATAGTCACACATTAATATCTATCAAATACTACTTTTTTTATAATCACAACCTGATTAGAGTCACACATGTTTTTAATTTTAATATCTATCAAATACTACTTTTTTTATAATCACAACCTGATTATAGTTACACTTGATTATAGTGACAAATACTGGTTGTATGATTTATAAATTGGTACATATAAGATTAATATAATAAATAGTTATTGGTTAATTATTTTTGAAAGCAACAAAAATGTTAGATATGATTTTTTCGGACCCAACTTTTAAATGATACATATATAGTATGAATTTTAGGATTACCCCAGAAAATTTCCGGTCTGCTTTCGAAAATAATTACCCATTTATCAATAAATTTATGATATTTCATCTAATTTTTATTATATTCATCAATAAAACCATTATATATTTACGTATTACACCTGTTATTAAAAAACCAATAGCCAAATATACAAATATCTTGTTACCTTAAAATTCTATACATCAAATTTCTTGAAAAATAATTAATCCAGATCAATTATGTCAATAACAGAAAAAGTAAAAATTATATATATATATTGTATATTTAATTAAAATTATTAAGCAATTATATGTACAATATATAAATAATAATAATATTATTATTTATTATTTTATTTATTTGATCAATTAGTTAATTTTACTTGGCATGTTTTTAATTAATTCATATATATATTTCCTATATTACAGAAGTTATCATATATATATTTCCCATATTACAGAAGTTACTATCTATAAATTATTTTATATATTATTAAACTATATTTATTTTATTTTATATTAACTTATTATTAATTCAATTTGAAAATATTGAATCAAAAACTAATATATCAATATACTATTAGTATTTTTATAATAGTTTTTAACTTAATTCTATTTCTAATTATAAAACTAGAAAGAAATTAAAATAAAGAAATTAAAAATAATATTTATATTTGATAAATAAAATTCTATAACAAAATCTTTTAAATCCATATTATTATTATTTTCTAAAACTGTCTAAATATTTAAAATTCTTGTATCAACTTATTATTTATAGATTATTTTAATTATTAAAACTTATTACAATTGTCTTTTCAAAATAAATAATTATTAAAATAATTTTAAAATTAAATGTTCTTAATAATTTATAAAAAGAAACATCAGATATTATAAAAAAACAATTATTAAATTATTTAACTAAAAATTAAGTTATAATGCTGTTATATAATATTACAAATATAATATTTATCAAATTAATATAAAAATAATTTTTATAGAAAATAAAATTCATTGATTTTTTATATTTATATTATTTATAACTATTAAATTTTTTATTAATTAATAAAAAAAACATAAATAATTCAAAAATATCATAAAATATTAAAAAAAATTAATTAATATATTTAAAGATTTAAGTTCTAAATTTTGTTTATTATTATATAGCATTACAAAATTTGTTTATTATTATTTGCAATTAAAATAATTACATAATTGGTTTTATTTATATTATTTTAAAACATATATACAAATTTGAATTAATTTTATTAAAAGATTTAGTTTTTAATAAATATTTATGTTATTTCTATAAAATTAGATCAAATTATTTTAAAATAATAATAATAATAATAATAATAGTCTTTATTTAATTCAATATTTAAAAATAGAATTATTATTACGTACAATTTTTTTTTAGGTTTGAATAAAATAAATAAATATACATACTGTATCTACGTTGTATGTGCTACGTACATGATATAAAGAATTATAATAAAGGAAAATTCTCATTATAGATTGGTATCTTTTTAAAAAGCAATTTTTTTTGTAACAATTCAAACTAATAAATTCATGGAATATTCAAGATAATCTATAGAATAAATAAACATTAAAACGTTTTTTTCAAAAGGGTCCAATCAAATCACAGAATTGTTGATTTGGCGTTATAGAGACTTGATACTGTGTCACAGGCAAAAGGAAAATTCAGAAAATCCGAAAGATACGGAACCAGTTTTTGGCTAATCAAATGTCTATCAATTATGCACATGGGTCAAAATAAGTTTACTGTATTTATTTGTATTTTTATTTATTATTTATTTTGTTTATGACATTATGCGGTTACATTCGTGTTTCACTCCCTTGTATCTTACCCGCAAAAAATTCTCGATGATTCTATTCATTCGCGTACTGATAATTCTTTTTTTATCATTAATCTCGCGGAGTGAAATAATTTGATTTTGAATTGAAATTTCTAATGTTCGAAATGTATTGAAATATTATATTGCAAGAGATGACTATGAAATTTGATTAATGCTTAATCTATAACTTTATAAATTTGATCGCACAGTTCTGTTTCATTTTCAATATCTACTTTGAGATCTTCCAAGAGGCCTGTACTTAGGTCGTACACCCATCCATGAACTTTGACTTGATTACCATTTGCCCACGCACGTTGGACAATGCTGGTGGCAGTAACGTTGTAAACCTGTTGTTTGACGTTTAGCCTCACCAACAAATTGATACGTTCTTCTTCGGAAAGTTCATTAAATAATTTTTTGTTTTTCCAGTAGATGTCTTTGAGGTTGCAAAGCCAATTGTCAACGAGACCATGTTGTTTGTTTTTCATCGAGGCGGCCACACCACCACAACCATAATGCCCTAAGTTTTTTATAATGCAACGAGAATTTAATTTTTCAAGCGCTGAAAACGAGAATATGAAAATAATGTGAAATGCTTACCGCAAACAATGACATGTTCGACCTGCAAATGTTCGATAGCGTATTGCAGCACCGACAAAGAATTCAAGTCGGTGTGATTAAACTGGTTGGCAATATTCCTATGAACAAAGATCTCACCAGGTCCCAACTGAACAATTGTCTCAGCAGGAACACGGGAATCCGAACAACCTGCAAATTAAACAGTATTTGCAATCTATAAATACAACAAAACGCAATGGTGTTTTATAATAATAAGTTCACTGACTGACCAATCCAAACAATGTGGGGATTTTGCGTTTTGGCACGTTCGGCAAAGAAGTCAGGATGCTGAGCCGTGATGGTTTCAGCCCAAATCTTGTTCATACGGAACAATTCCTCAAGGTTTTCCCCAACGTCAGAGAAGCTGGTAAGACGGGGGGTGATAAGGTCATGGTCGTGAGGTCCATTTTTGCAAACTGAAATAGTTTAGGTGTATTTGAGTGGGTTTGTCCTATCCATACATGAAAATTTACAAGCGATATTTTCACTTACTATCTGAAAATGAATCCATTTTAATAATATAAAGTTAATTAATCAGAATAAATCAGTTTGGTTTAAGGAAAAAAATCAATAATATTAA